CAAGATTGGCCCGGGCCACACATCGTCCTGCGCAAACTGAACTGAACTGACCTGACCTTGAGCTATGTTTTAATTCATCAAAACCGCTCACCGATCATCCACTTTTCGGCGCACCGCCATCATGAGCGAACTGCCCACTAAAGTTAAGATCCTGGAAACACCGGAGGACATCCAGGAGCGAAGAGAGCAAGTCTTGTCTCGGTATTCAGCCTTCAAGGAGGCTACAGAATATAGGCGACATAGATTAGAACAAGCGAAGAGGTAAGACTGTGCAGTATATTCTTTATGCCCCTAGGTATCAGTTTTTCAAACGCGATGCTGACGAGCTCGAGGGATGGATCCTGGAGAAGCTGCAAACCTACTCCAATGAGGACTTCAAAGAGCTTAGCAATCTTCAGGTGCGTTAGACATTCACTGAAAGAACTTCACAATAGGCGAAGAAACAAAAACACCAAGCTTTGGAATTGGAGGTCACTGCCCATGCTGAAATATTGTCCTCTCTGGATTCCGCTGGAGAACAGATGATAAACGAACAACACTATGCCTCCGAGATCATAAAGGTGATAATTGGTAATCGAATTGGTGATTACTGTTGTAGAACCGTCTGGATGAGTTACATGCGCTATGGGAGAGGCTCATGGAAATGTTCCGCGAGAAGTCGCGATTACTCAATCTGACACTCAAATTCAGTCAATTTCTCCGTTTGGCTGACGATTTGCTTTTTTGGATTCGTGAGAAGGAGGCCTATGTAACGTCAGAAGAGTATGGGAATGATCTGGAACATGTTGAGGCTCTCCAGAAGAAGTTTGATGAGTTTTCCAAGGTAGGTATTATGGTCATGTTATCCTTTCATTCATTAGGATCTCGAATATCAAGAAACACGAGCCCAAGAGGTGTATACCAAGGAGGATGAGTTGTTGAAGGAAGGATTTCCAGAAGATCGTTTGGTAAGCGAGAAGTCGAGAGAAGTGCGCGAAGCGCTCGAACGATTAAAAGAACTAGCACAGCACAGATACCACAAACTATTTGAAGCGCACGAGATACAACGCTTTTTCCGCGATACGGACAAGGCAATATCTTGGGTAAACGAAAAATCTATTCCCCTTTCGGTCGATGATTGTGGCCGTGATCTTGCTTCGGTTCAGGCACTTCAGCGTAAACATGATACACTGGAGAGAGACCTTACAGCACTCGAAGAGAAATTGGTGCATTTGGGTGTCGACGCCGAGGCACTGGCGGAAAAACATCCGGATTCAAAGGAAACGATACACGATAAACATCGTACTCTCCTCAATGCATGGGAAAAGCTAAAATCTCAGGCGGCAGAACGTAGGGCCAAGCTAGATGAGGCATTCAAACTTCAGCGTTTTCTTGCCGACTGGCGCGATTTGAACTTATGGATCACTGAAATGAAGGCCTTAATTGAAGCTGATGAACTTGCGAAGGATGTTGCTGGCGCGGAAGCCCATGTCGAACGTCATATGGAACATAAATCAGAAATTGCTTCTCGAGAGGAGAGTTTCCAAACTTGCATGCAAGAGGGCAAAAACTTGATTGATTCTGGTATTCCCAACAGTGCTGATGTTGCCACAAAGCTGTCAGAGCTTGAGCGTGAACGAGAAAATCTGATAAACTTATGGGAGGCCCGTCGAATTCAATTAGAGCAATGCATGGATCTCCAGCTTTTCTATAGGGATGTGGAACAAGCAGAGTCATGGATGTCTAAACAGGAGGCTTTATTGGAGAATAAAGATGTTGGTGACTCACTGGATGCCGTTGAGGCTCTGATGCGGAAACACGAGGATTTCGAGAAGTCTCTCGATGCACAAGAGGAAAAGATGAAGCATATCGATGATTTTGCCAATAAACTTATAGAGAATGGCCACTATGCAGCCCCACAAGTTGCTGAACTTAAGAACTCCTTAGCTACTCGTCGAGCAGCTTTGAGGGAGAAGGCTGCCGCCCGGCGTCAACGTTTAGAGGATTCCCACCGATATCAAATGTTTGATCGGGATGCAGATGAAATGCAATCATGGATAACAGAAAAACTGCGGTGTGCTTGCGATGAAAGCCATAAAGATCCAACAAATCTTCAGACCAAATGCCAAAAACACCAGAACTTTGAGGCCGAAATCCAAGCAAATCAGTCTCGAGTGGATGATATCCGAAAAATGGGTCAGGATCTTATACAGGCGCAGCATTACAACGCTCCTGAAATTGGGGCCCGGATTGAACAATTGGATGATACCTGGCTACGTTTGGCAAACGCCATGTCGAATAAAAAGAAGAATTTGGATCAGGCCAGCAGACAGCAGCAATTTGTTCGTAACGTTGAAGATGTTGAATTGTGGTTGGGTGAAGTAGAAGCCCAGCTGAGTTCCGACGATGTGGGTCGTGACCTAAACGGTGTAATCAATGCTCAAAAGAAGCACAATCTGTTGGAAGCAGACGTCCAGGCCCACCGAGATCGTGTCGATGCTTTCAAATCTCAGGCGGACACATTCGCCGCCGAAGGGCATTTTGATGCACCGGTGATAGCCGAAAAACAGGTGCAGTTGATGCAGCGTTATAAGGCGCTAGAAGAACCTTTGAAACTTCGACGCGAGAAGCTGAAGGATGCGTATAAGTTGCATCAGTTCTTCCGTGATGTTGAAGACGAGCAAGATTGGATTCATGAAAAGGAGCCTATTGCTGGTTCAACAAACGTCGGTAAGTTTTAGCAGTTAAACTGTTCACCATTTTCTTGTGTAAGATTCCGGTTTCGGTAATCGTTCCCCGTACTATAGTACGGTTTTAGATTACCGTATAAAGATAACTCATCTTCACAGCAGATGATCCGAGTTCGGTCATTTGTGTTTTGCATGAGTTGACAAAACATTTTCAGTATGTACGATTATGAATTGATGAAATACCTTTCCACAAGACTCAGTGGTTAATGCTTGTTTTTCTCTTCTCGTGTACTACTCTTCTAGCTATTGAGTCAGCGAACAATGTAACCTTTCTGAACCCACGTTATTGTAGCTGTACCCATTGGTTTCATGATAAACTAGGACTGACGCAGATTGCGTGCACTAGCTTCTGGGTCCATTTTACTTCACCGTCACCACCATGAAAAGTCAAGCGTGCCAATCAGTGCTTGTGATGAACCCGAATGATTGAACGAGAATTGTGATAAGCTCAACGACCGAACAATAATCGAGAGAAAAAAATAAACAACTTGATACGAGGCCTTGGTTTTCCAACAGTGTAGGCACCTCAGCTACAATGAAAATACTTTCATGGTAGTAAAATCTCACCACGATACAAAGAATAAAATCTAACGTAAACCCCGCACTATTATACTTTCACAGTGTTTGGATCGGCGCCGAAAATCAAAGAAGCTATCTCAAAGTTTCAGGGCAGTTGTTACTCACCTTTATGCCCGAAAGGTAAACAATCGTTGCCCATCATTGGCTAACTTGTGGAAGAGTTGGATCTTGTAGTCACAGAATGTCTTCATGGAAACCAGCGGCCGCAAACATGGTACTAGCAATCATGAAAATTCTCCATAAAATATACTAGGTGACGACAGAGCTGTTGGACACGCTGAGGTGCGTTCTTGAATAGTGGTTACTCTATGGCCCCCTTCTGCTTGGCTGTTTCCATTGTAAATACATTCAAGCTAGATTATTGCAGTTGCTACTTGGTGATCTAATGTTTTTTTTGTCGTTGTTGATTTCGGATTTAACGTACAATCCATGTTGTTCGTTATGCTACAGGTCGTGATCTGATAGGTGTTCAAAATTTGATAAAAAAACACCAGGCGGTTTCTGCAGAAGTTTCCGGTCATGAACCCCGAATTGAAGAGGTTATTCAAGAGGGAAATGCCATGATAAATGCCAGTCATTACGCCTCGGATGACATCGTCAAACGGATATCAGAGTTGCGTACCGACTGGAAGCATTTGTGCGATAAAACCGACAGACGTCGTCAGTTGCTTGAAGATTCATTACAGGCACAGCAGTATTTTGCAGATGCTAGCGAAGCCGAAAGCTGGATGCGAGAGAAAGAGCCGCTTGTTGGATCATCCGAATTCGGTCGAGACGAGGACTCCACAGAAGCACTTCTAAAGAAACATAATGCGTTAATGGCAGATATTGAAGCTTATGGATCCACCATTGAGGCTCTTGCCGCACAAGCCAACGCCTGTCGCATGCAAGAAGCACCAATCAGTGATGTGTTAGGAAAAGATGTAGTCATGGCCTTATATGACTACCAAGAGAAATCACCGCGCGAGGTTTCTATGAGGAAGGGAGAAATACTCACCTTATTAGCCAGTAACCATAAGGACTGGTGGAAAGTCGAAGTAAACGATCGTCAAGGTTTTGTCCCAGCGGCTTATGTTAAAAGAGTGGAAGCTCCCCTGTCGGACAGCCAGGCGGACCTAGCCGAAAAGCCGTTAACTGTGGCTTCGCAACAGCAACGTTTGGAAGAGCAGTATCAGTACTTGCTGCAGCTGGGTCATGATCGCCGTGAGCGGCTTCAAGATTCTGTCGAAGCTTACCAGTTAGTTCGAGAAGCAAATGATTTACATCAGTGGGTTGTCGAGAAGGAGCTTGTGGCTGTCACTGAGACGATAGTACCTGGTCGTTTAGAGGAAGTAGAATCTGAACGCAAGAAAGTAGACGACTTGGTCGTTGAGCAGAAAGAACGTGAAGCGCGTGTAACAGAACTTTGTGCCAAAGCTGATAAACTGAAGCGCGGTGGACAAACCGAGGCAGTTGAAAAGATCGAGGGTATTATTATGCAACTACAAAAGAAATATGAACAATTGGAGGAGGTAACCACCAAGAAAGCGAAGGATCTTGATGACATCAATGCAGTTCAGCGATATCATCGTGAATGTGATGAAGCGAAAGATTGGATTGAGGAAAAAGAAGCT